TTTACACCTTTTTCACATTTGTGTTGTTGAGTCCAGAAACAGTCGAGCTTAATGTGTATTTTGAAAGCCTTACTGTGAGACACTGGTCTGTTGTTGGTTTAGGATTTGCTGTGAGGTTTCAGTGGGAGGACAGAACCCAGAGGGGTACAGACTGCGTCTGGAAAATGGTAGCCAGCCATGGTTCTATGATAAAGAACCCCTTTTTCCCAACAGCCAGACAATTCTTCTCATTGTCACTGCAAGTGTGAACTGTGTTCCAACCACTATAATCCCTTCCATGTGTTTGGGTAGTTGCGGTGTCTGTGATCGGGGGACGGTCTGTCTTCTCAGTAAGTTCAAGCCTACAGACATAACCACTGATGAGTTTGATACTAAGAAGCACGACTACGGTTTGCCAACACACCCAGAGCATATAGCTCAAAAGATGTCTTGCAACCTCTCCCTTCATAGAACTCCAGAAAATATGAGTTGACAACCCTGGCAAAACCACGAAATAAAAGACAAAGTATGCGCTTCAAATAACACACAATATCTTTTATGTATAGTATGTTTGCTGACAATGCATGGTCCTCTTCACAGAGAAAGAACATAACCGCAGTATGTCATTGTGTCTGGATGCTCGGGACAGAGCTGAAGGGGAAGTACTGTTGTTCAAGATGTAAGAACTGGCTGATAATAAAGGACTGTCTCTCTCTTTACATGTGGTTAGCTTTTTTTCTGAGGATGTGAGACTCCTGTATGAATAGGACTTTTGTTCATCTTCTCCCAAGCTTTCATCATGTTTTCAATTAAACCTTTGATGTAGAGGATAGTTAAACCTTGCTGCTTTTCATTTATACACTGTTTTTTATTGAAAAATATATAGCTTTTAGGGCAAAGTAGGTAAGCCCGATTACCACCTGACCGTGCATGTCCATCTATAAATGTAATCTTTCTACTGGAAGATGCTGCTGAGTGCAGCTGATGGTCAAATAAGGTATTCTTGTGATTATTGTATTTTATAATACTACATATGCATGTATGATCATTAGAAAGAAAGTACAGTATATGCAGTTTGGTGTGTGTCCACGCCTGTGCATTGTGAGCCGTTAGCTTAGGCAGGGTCTCACACTGGTCTGGGCGGTTAAGTAGTGAAAAAAGGCTGAGCTGTGACCTCGTTCCAGTTAACTGCTCCTGACAAAAGCAAGTCAGCCGAGTGTTAAGTGTAAGTGGCATATGCCGTCTGACTCAAATCACGTCTTATCAGATGTGCCGCGCCTCACGACCACAGGGCAGTGCCACCATCTTTATGCTCTAAGCCACTGCACTTTCAAATCAAACCACTGTTCCCCACCTTTGCTGAGCAGCAGCAAGAAGCCTCAACAATCTCGGTTATGGAATCACTCATAGTTAACCGTTTACAAGACCACCTGTACAGTTTGGGTTTGGGTGGCATTCGAAATATGTAAAACACAGGTGTCAACAATAACATTTTTGTTTTTCCTTTCTTTATTCTTTAGCATTAATGAAATGAGAATTTTTTTAAAGCTTTGCAATATAATGATAGTATGCAGATACATCTTAAGTTAAGCATAATACTTGTGTGTATACTGCTTCTCTTAGACAGACTAATCAAAAAAGTCAGCCAAAATGATATTTTTTCTTGTTATCTAAAGATATTTTAACATTACAAAAAATGTATTTTCATTATTTTTTGAATAATAAAGAAACAATTAAATCACACCAGTACGGTAACCTTCGGTTTGCTGGACGCATTTGCCCTCACATCAACTATTTTAACAAATGAACCACTACAGCACTGTAAATACTAAACCAGCTATAATTACTGTAAGTACAGTATTAAAACAGTTGGCACTAACTGAATCAGTTGTTACTGGTTCTTGACACAGCTACTAAAAATGGTGGGATTGGCTGTGAGGCGGTACAAAAATACCCCAGTATGCTGACACCACAGGATATTTTTCATGAATGCCATAATGTAAACATATTTTTAAGTTTAATGTGTACACCTAAAAAGACACTAAAGCACGTGTAAAAGATTCATTGAGACAGAGCAGTTTTTCCCCACAACCTGGTACACTGACAGTTGCTTCAGTATATTTCATGATTTACTTTTAATTTTTCAGGCATCTGATTGGTTTATGATTGAGCTAACTGCTAACTAGCCTTTTTTGTTTCTCTGCTCAGTTGGTTGTTGTGTGGTCCTCAGTGTCATTCAGCTTTCTCAAGTCTCCTGTCCCACTATTGGACAAATTAAAAATCCACCATAGTCTAATATCAGCTCTCCACCCCCACACGTGTGCCTCACTATCATCACAATGTAAATCAGTGAAAAGCATTGCAGGTTCAGCTGAACCCACCAAAGTGTTTTGCTAACTAAAAATTTCACCTGCAAATAAAGAATACCCCTCCAGGACAGAAATGGCAGTGCAGATGAAAGTGTTGGAATCATAAAGTGCCCAGGAATAAGAAGGAGAGGGTAGGGAGAAGGACGAGGGGCTTTCTAGCAATGAAAGATTTTGGCTGCTTTCACAAAGTGCTCCTAATCCACTCTAAACTCCATTACATGTGGGACACTTTCACTAAGAAGACACAGATAAGCTCAACAATAGCAAGGAGAGCCCATCCAAAAATAAATAAAAAAATCAACAAACATAAAGAAGGGCAGCAACCACATTTTGGGGGGAAACTATTTCAATTTTAGATATGGCACCAAACTGAAACTGGGCCACTGTATGCTTTGATGTCTCAATTGTGTGCATGTGTACATTTAATAGCAAAGAAACCAAAGCTTATTGATGGAACAAAAATGACAGAGACAGAGAAAAGGGAGAAAATGGAGATGTTGTGACAGAGACAAGGATAGAACAAGACTGGGAAAGTGGACAGCCAAAGAAAAAGGATGGATGAATAGAAAGAGACGAGAGTAAGATATGGCAGGGAAAAAATATGCCTCAGATATAGAAGTAAGAGTGACAGAGCTAAACTAGTGTAGAATCCCAGTTGAATAGGACTTGATTAACTGTGCCACAGGGTCAGAGCAGGGTCTCTGTCTGCTGGGGCCTGGCTTACGAAAATGATATGTGTGCATATATGTGTGAGTGTGCAAGTTTTGACTGTAATTTGCACTTTTGAAACATGTGACTGCAATTTGCAAGACACGATATACGTAAATGGTTTTTCTGGTTGGCTTAGGGCAGCTGCACTTCTCTGTGATCTGAAAGGGAGCACAGAGAAAACCTCATGAAACCTAGGATGAAGGCTTTCTGGTTTCTTACAGTATGAAAAATGTAGCATTAATGGGTGTTCATTTTGCCCTAAACACACTACAGCTTCTTGCTACGAGGCTTTTTTTCTTGATCTTGTGTAATAAATACAGTCCACACTTCACATTTACAGAGATCTGCTTTTGCACCTTGCTAAAAATGGACAGTAGCAAAACTTTTGGTCAACAATATCTATATAGAAGAATTAAGAGTTGTAAAAGGTGGAAGGGTCATTAACTTAAATTTTTGCCTTTTGTAAGTGCCTCTTGTTGGCCCCAACAAAACAACCAGCTACTAGTAACTCACTTTTTTCCTCATTTATTTCTTTGTTTTTAATTTGAATTACAATTATAGAATATATGAAATCCACTTTATGGATATTGGATATATGGTAATGGATATTTAATTTCCTTCATCACATTTCTTCCAAAAATAGCTAACGTTAAAAAACATTTGTTAAAACGCACAATAATAAAATTACAAAGTAACTTAATGCATTTTGGAGTAACATCATATTTAAATCTATATGAGGAAACAGGTGGAATTGATTCTATTAATGTTCTAAATTTGCAATATTGTACTTTGCCTAAAATAAAAAAGCAACCCATGATGTGCATGACTCTCAAACCTCAAATGAAAATGTAATTAAAACTAATGAAAATCAGAATTTGGTCTATAATGAGAGATCTATAGTGCAAAAAACTGTCAGTTCTTTACTAAAACACAACATATAGACAGCAGTCTAAGTTCTCCAAACTTTTTCCTTTTGATACAAAAATAAACCACACTGTCCCTGCAGTGGTTCTACTGACATTTTGCAGACCACACATCTGTTGACCATTTTGGACATTTTGGATGTGAAAATCCTGCTGACAGTGTAAGATGTAGTGAATAAGGTCCCAGTCGCACCTGGCTTACAGACTGATCAGTGACCACCTAGCAACCGCTCACTGTGAGGGATAATTTAGCACTCCCTGACCACTTGCAAGTTGCTGATGGTTGATCAAAAGTTGCTGGGAAGATAAGACCTGCATACTGCTTTCGCCTATAATTTGAATGAAAGTGATGGATCTGTCTACAAACACCGTCCAAGCTCTCCAAGCTGTACTGAAACTTTGAAAAGTGTGACATAAACCAGAAACGAAGACCATTTGCCTTCAAACCAAAAGTTTTGAAACATGCTGGCACAACTTCACAACCCGTTCTTTCGCACTTTCTTAGTAATACTGCTGCTTGGCCAATATTTGGCAAGCTTTTGCAAACAAACATGAGAAACTACAGACATTCATGGAACTCTGCTAGCAATTAAAGCTATCAGTAGGAGGTCTTCAGTCCAGCATCTTCTCTGTGACCAAATTCATCCAGCCAGTTCCAGAATCAGAATCAGAAAGACTTTATTTATTCCCAAGGGGCAATTAACAGTAGTGGTTCCTTTCTAGTCGGGGAATAAATATATTTTAGCTAACAACAAATCACATGAGAAACTTCATTACCCCATCTGGGGACATCTCCCCACAGATTTATAAACCTTTGGGCTAACCACGAGAGTTCCAGGTTTAAACTATTTCAGGTATTAGAAAGTACAAGCAACAGCTATGGCTGTGAGTATCAAAGAAATATATCTTTTGGTTTATCAGAAAGTGAGCAGATAACTTGTTGTCAGTATGCTTACTAATCTCTATATAATCATCCTTAAAATGTAAACTTTTAAAAGTGTCTCTTAACAGGCCTCACCTGGGGGCTAACGCTAGGACCGTAGCCCATGCCAGGTGAGTTCATGGAGTGAGGGCCCATGGGTGAGCTGATGACAGAGAAGGGTGAAGCCAGGCCATTCATTGGAGAGCTCAGCGTACTGATGGGAGAGTGGAGAGGGCCTGAGGGCCCCATGGACGTTGGGCTGAGTAGAGATGGGTGCATTCCACGGTGGGAGGTTGGTGATCCCAAGGGCGAAGAGGTCACCTGACCTGATGAATCTGTTCAGGAAAAAAAAAAGCCCAGAAAGGTTACACATTTTATCTTGACGATTCCAATGAGCAAAGAAAATCACTGATAATAAACACGGGTAATTCTTACCACCCCGTCATATTTTCTTATGATAATAAGGTCTTTTGATTTTGCCTTCATAAGATTTTCAAAGCAAAATGAGACAGGAAAAACCTGATGTGAGGCTTCACAATTTGGACCAAAAAGCCACTTTGATAACTAAGTTTTGAATAAACACTCAGAATTCTTCAAAACAACGCTCTCACACTTGGTTTCTTCCAGCCAGGGTCGTTGGCACCGCAAGGCTAGCACATCTGGTAAAGTGTGAAGGCAGTTCTTTAATGTGAGTGCTGTGCAGGAAAATGGACAATTCAGCAAAAAAAACTTAAGACAATTAAATCCAACAATCACCAATAGTGGAAAAACCACAAAGTCAGCGGCTGAAGGGTTGTGGGTATGGGCAGAATGTCATGAAAAGCTTGTGTACATGAACCGGGTGTTGGTTTTCTTTACTCTGCTGTTTTTCTCCACCATCATTTTTGATGGATTAACATATCCTGGGAAACTTCCAAGTAATGTACCAACCATAAATGGACATAGTTTCCAGGTCTGAAAAGTGAAGCCAGCGTAAAAGTGCCTTAAACTCATGTAGTTCCAAAAAAGACTTGTGGTTGCTTAGAAGTGTATGGAAAGTGACATTCGGCTTTCTTAATCTGCAACTTCATTAAACACTTTCCTGATGAGTCTCACCTGCTAGTCTCAGGTCAAACTGAACAGAAGATTAAATCCATTTGTTAAACTGTGGTCCGTCTAAGAGTCACAAAGGAGAATAATCCAGGAAAGGCTTGCTAGCTAATGATTTGTCAACCATAAATCATTAGCCAGCGAGTGCACAGTTTCACAATCTCATTCATCCCTAAGTCACTACATCTGGTTTCCAAGATGGCTATGGCCAAAAAGCTGAAATCACAGATTTAAGTGGGACTTCACAAACCAGTAGGTGATGTCCTGGTGGCAAGATACCCCTTTTATACTGTCTATGGTCTTCTCTTTAACAGTCAATCCTGTTCTCAGCTATGTGTATAATGCTTAACACAAAGAGCAGAGCACACCGTGAAGTAAAGGCAAAAGTAGATATACAATGAGACAAAGGAAAGAAACAAGTGTGACATTAAAAGAAATAAAAGACAGTAGAGACTTATGGATATGGGGGGCCATGGATGTGGTAAACACTTAAAAAGACTGTATAACTTTACAAAGCGGTTCTGCTGCTCTCTCACAGACTGCTTCGTTCTGGAAAACTGAAGTCCTTCCTTGAGGCATCTACGAGGTCAGGGATATACACTGGATTTATATTGTATATAGTTTATGAATGGGGTAGTAGTGGGCTCAGGAAAATGACAAGCATGACCTTGCACCACAGCTGAGGAGAATCCTGCAGTGACTGAGACTGAAGTCAGAATGATAAGGATAAGGTCATGTGTACAAAAGCTCATCTGCGCTCACAGCCCCCCCCCCCCAAATCATCAGAGCTACTCTTTATCTTGACTGAGCTTTCCATCTTTCCATCAGCTGTCAACACAGAAGATATGAGACAGGTGAGAACATTAGCAAAGAAGTACTGATATGCTGTGCTATGTCACTGAGACTTTGGCAACTTTGTTGTATGTGTACTGATAACAAACCTCCTGTCTCAACTTTCAACACTGCAGTTCAGTCTTGCATACTTTCCATTTATGACTGAGCCTGCCTTTGCTTCCATCATTCTTTTTTATAATCTCACATCCATCGACCCCATTTTTATTCATTAAATGTCCCACAAAGGGACACACCGTTAAGACACACCAGCTTTTGGAACATAAATGTATTTATAGACATTATAATTTATCAAACAACAGTGGCCTTATCAGTAACTGATTCACATAATTAGTTTTGCAAGCAAAATGCTGAACAATTAAATGTTGCAAAAATGTCCATGAATAATAATAATAATAATAACAATAATAACAATAATAACAATAATAATAATAGTGACATATCTCAGTGTCTCCAAAGACATTCCCTCATTTTTGTATTTTAATTTACAATAATTTCTCAATCCATTTTTATAGCTGGCATTAGAGAGCTGAGGTTCACATCAGTTTCTCTGTTGTCCTTAAATACCCTCCTTTATACCCTGTCCTATTTTGACACTGCAAGTTCACTCTGTCTGCTCTCTGCAGTGGGAGCATGGACACATGTTATGTAATGAGTTGGAGTGTGGCTTGTCTATCACGCTCCCACATTTTGTACGTGACCAGGTTCCTCTATTTTCTGCACAGTGGAAAAAAGCAGATAGCTAAACTAATTAAAAACAGAGATTAGCAACTTTAGTTTCTTTTAGGAATCCTCCCCATCCTTTTTATTGCTACGTAGCCAAAGTAACAGCCATACAAACTCAAATCGTTTAAAGAAAAATGCTACAAAATACATTTGCAGGAGCACTGGTTTTAGCAGCACTCTGCACTGAGTACCAGTGCAGTTTTCAGCTGAGTCAAACCAAATACTTCCTGCACATCTTGCTTGACTCAAAAGAACTTCCTGTTAGAAACGACACACACACACACCCACACAGAAACACCCCATCCTTTGGAAAATAAACAAACAGACTTGTTAAAAAAGGGGCTAATAACAGCTCTGTATCTAGCTATGTTACTTCAGTGTTGGATCCCATGACTGATACTTCTTGAGCTTCTATCTGTATGATTAGATTTTTTCCTCCAAAAATATGTGCCCACACACACATAGCTCCAAAATAATTCCCATAACCCTTCTCCAACTGGGTTTCAATTCAAGCAGATAAAACGAGTGGCGGTATTAGAGTTGCCAATCTGCCATTGTAGCTCTCAGTGGGGGTGGAGGGTAGGGGAGAGTGGGACTCAGCAAACAGAATCCCAGCAAGGCCCCACCTAGAGGGGGGGATGACAGAGACAGGCTGGGAGGTAGATCCGCCTGTTATGTCTCTTTTTTCCCCTCCCATTCATTCTTTATGTCCCTCTTTCTTCCGACAGCTTTTGGAGAAGAGGAAAATCCAAAGCAGAACACTTTTCCCCTCTAATGTTCCCCCTCTTTATGACCAAGCAGCGAACCATGTGGTCACACTGGATTGTATGTGGATGGTCTTGTTTGGACAAAGCTCCCAGAACATAAAGATTTCTCAATGCAAAATATCTGTGTGTGCGTTTGAGTGTACAGTATGCGTGTGTATGTTTACTCTTGTTGGAGTTGGGTTGCCAGTGTAGGATTACAGCAGGATGAAAAGGACTCTGTCCTAATCCTCCCCGGAGAGGAAAGCAGAAGAGAAAATTAGGGTAGAGGAGACAAGGAAAGAAAGGATAAGGAAACAAATAGTGGTTGTAAGGACAGAAGAGTGGAGAAGAAAAAAAAAGCAGAAAGGAAGATCCAATGAGAGAAGGGGAATCAAGAAGAAACAAAACAAGAAGAATGACAGAGAAGAAAGGAAAGAAATGACTAGACTGGACAAGAAAAGTAAGCAAGGAGCAAGATGGAAATAAGGTTCCTCTGTACATACACAAGACATGTGCATTTAGGTTTAAATTAAGCTTTGCCAAGTTCTCCTTCGAGATAAAGTCCCGGCTCACACAACAAGATCTCAAATTCCAGTTTCTGTTGTCAGTTAACTATAAATATTGTCATGTGGATACAAAAATACAACTCAAAGAATCTCTGTAAAATCTTCAACCAACACTTTGACTTTAAGCCCAACTAATCGAGGAAAAAGAAGTGGAGAAAAAAAAAGGGGGGGGGGGCAGCATTGCCACTCCTGCCTGCGTTTCTTCATATAGCCAATTCCATCTTAACCTGTTAAACTGGAAATGGGAATATGCTTCGTGAGCAGTCTTGAAAAAACAACCTCTGGCAGCCGTTTGCACTGTATGCAAGATATGAAATAAACCTGTTCAAAAGATAAGAGTGACTGTAAAGCCAATCACTGAAAAAGGGCAGAGCAGGAAAGAGCAAAAATAAAAATTAAGATAAGACTTTATTGATCCCATGACAGGGATTTTTTTGCGTTACCTCAGCTCAGGTACAGATATCAGAAGGAAATACAAAAAATACAAATAAGTACAATCAATGAAAAAATAAGTAAGATAATACATTATATACAACGGTAGCACACACAGTATGTGATTATGGATATGGTTGTGGAACTATGCAAGACATTAACTATATAGCTTAACATAACTATTGTACCACTACTATTCCTATGTACAGGGAGTGCAGAATTATTAGGCAAGTTGTATTTTTGAGGAATAATTTTATTATTGAACAACAACCATGTTCTCAATGAACCCAAAAAACTCATTAATATCAAAGCTGAATGTTTTTGGAAGTAGTTTTTAGTTTGTTTTTAGTTTTAGCTATTTTAGGGGGATATCTGTGTGTGCAGGTGACTATTACTGTGCATAATTATTAGGCAACTTAACAAAAAACAAATATATACCCATTTCAATTATTTATTTTTACCAGTGAAACCAATATAACATCTCCACATTCACAAATATACATTTCTGACATTCAAAAACAAAACAAAAACAAATCAGCGACCAATATAGCCACCTTTCTTTGCAAGGACACTCAAAAGCCTGCCATCCATGGATTCTGTCAGTGTTTTGATCTGTTCACCATCAACATTGCGTGCAGCAGCAACCACAGCCTCCCAGACACTGTTCAGAGAGGTGTACTGTTTTCCCTCCTTGTAAATCTCACATTTGATGATGGACCACAGGTTCTCAATGGGGTTCAGATCAGGTGAACAAGGAGGCCATGTCATTAGTTTTTCTTCTTTTATACCCTTTCTTGCCAGCCACGCTGTGGAGTACTTGGACGCGTGTGATGGAGCATTGTCCTGCATGAAAATCATGTTTTTCTTGAAGGATGCAGACTTCTTCCTGTACCACTGCTTGAAGAAGGTGTCTTCCAGAAACTG